ACAGGTTGGCAGGGGGCCCGAGACCCTTGTTGGAAATCCTTTGGGGCACATGGCACCGGTTGGGAGAGGGCTGGCCCCCAGACAGGGGGCAGGGGCCCGAGACCTTGATGGAATTCTCCGGGGCACCTTGGCACAGTTAGGAGAGGCTTCCCCCAGACAGGTGCAGGACCCGAGACCTTGATGGATGCTTCGGGGCACGTGGCACAGGTAGAGGAGGCTGGCCCCAGACAGATGGCAAGACCCGAGACCCTGATGGAATGCTCGGGGCACGTGGCAAAGGTAGGAGAGGCTGGCCCCAGACAGGTGGCAGGACCCGAGACCCTGATAGAATGCTCGGGGCACGTGGCACAGGTAGGAGAGGCTGGCCCCAGACAGGTGGCAGGACCCGAGACCCTGATGGAATGCTCGGGGCACATGGCACAGGTAGGAGAGGCTGGCCCCAGACAGGTGGCAGGACCCGAGACCCTGATGGAATGCTCGGGGCACATGGCACAGGTAGGAGAGGCTGGCCCCAGACAGGTGGCAGGACCCGAGACCCTGATGGAATGCTCGGGGCACGTGGCACAGGTAGGAGAGGCTGGCCCCAGACAGGTGGCAGGACCCGAGACCCTTGTAGAATGCTTGGGGGGGGCACGTTTGACCTGTAGGAGAGGCTGGCCCAGACAGGTGGCAGACCCGAGACCCTTACAGAACGCTCGGGGCATGTGGCACGGGTAGGAGAGGCTGGCCCCAGACAGGTGTCAGGACCCGAGACCCTGGTGGAACGCTCGGGGCACGTGGCACAGGTAGGAGAGGCTGGCCCCAGACAGGTGGCAGGACCCGAGACCCTGGTGGAATGCTCGGGGCACATGGCACAGGTAGGAGAGGCTGGCCCCAGACAGGTGGCAGGACCCGAGGCCAACAGGCAAGATGACGACCACGAAGACTAGTATAAACAGGAGCACCGGACTCTGGGAAGCAGAGGCCGCACTTGCTCTTCTCTGGGAGTGAGGAGGCAGGTCATCTGAGGAGAGTGGGTGTGTCTGGGGAGGGTGGAGTGGGTCTGAGAAAAGTGAGAGGCTGGCAAAAGCACTCAGGAAAATGGGAGAGGAGCTCTAGCCAAGGACTGGAAGGCAGTAGGAAAAGCTCAGCTGAGCTAGGAGGCTATAAAATGTTGGCAGCCCTAGCCTGCATAACTGGATGATCTTTCTGGGCTACACCCCACACCCCAGGTCTGGGAGTGGAGAGGTCAAAAAGACACAGACCCAGGCTGTTAGCTGGCAGCACAGGTGACAGAAAAAGGCCAGCTGGACAGATTTGAGAGTGATGTCAAAGAGTAACCGGCGTGACTGACTCAGGAGGCAGACGGGAGTCTGGAACGGTAGGGGCTGGGGGTGCACAGAGGACAAAAGGTTAGGGTTAAGACTTTATCAGTGGTCCTTAAAGGGCAGGGGCAGCTTGCCTCCTGGCAGAACACGTCGCTTTGCATTCCCACGGGCGAGCGCACTGCCCGGCCTCTCTCACCACACCCCATAAAGCAAAAGGTCATTGTCTTGAACTCTGCGACTTACTAAGCAAAAGAAGTGACAAATGAAGCCTTGAAGCCTTGCGTTTCCTTGATTACTTGCACTGCGGAAGGGCCACACGTATTTACTGGGCGTCTGTACCTCATCTGAGAACCTTCTGCTCAGGATCTGCACTCGTGAAAGGGGAGTTCTCCAAGTTGATTAGCGCTTCATGCATTAAGGATATCGCCCCTCTGCTGTGGTGCCCTTGGCTTTCTCCAAGTAGTCACTCGACATGATTTTAATTATGATGGCATTATATATTTATTTAATAACAGGCGAAAGTTTAATTATTATGTGATCATCTATTATTCTTCATTCTTTGCAATTTTCTGCTAAACTATGAAGTACTCCCCACTGTGAGCTATCTTTTCTTCTATGTATTTTATGGTTTTATTTTTCTCGTGAAACGCCTAATCTGTCAGAATTTACCTTGGCCCAGAGTGGTAGGTAGAATCTGACCTATTTCCCCAGTGCCAGCCTGTCGTCTTGTGCTGTTTCCTCGCCATCTTTGATGCCTCCTCAGCACTTGCCCACTTCTTAACCAGACCGGGGCGGTCCCTGTGCGTTATCAGGAGTCCCATGTTACAAGCACGGTCGTGTTACAAGCCAAGGCCAGGGAGCGAGCCGGCAGACGGCACAGCCGGACTCTGAGTCCCCTGCACTTCTACTGCAGTTTCAGGATGTTTCAGCCCTGGTCTGAAAACTTTTGAAAACGGAATGAACTCCTTGCCAAGAAAGTCAGTTCTTAAGGGAAAGTAATTGCCAGACCAGCAAATCGCATCACAAAGAACCACATTTCTGCTCCTGTGTGTGTGTGTGGGGGGGGGGGTGACCTCTCGGTTCTGGGAACTGGCAGAACCACACGCACAGAGGAGAGACAGACCTGGGAGCACACACCTGCAGTGTGTTTCTCTAGAAGCTTCTGTGTGGGCTCCCCGCTGTCAACCACATACTTGGGTTTTCTGTGTCTTTTTTTATATAGGCCAGGTGTTTGGTGATTTTATTCAGTTGAAAGCAGAGAGGCTGAGACAGAAAGAGATCTCCCACCTGCTGGTTGATTCCTCAAATGCCCTCCAAAGGCCAGGGCTGGGCCAGGCAGAAATCAGGAGCCAAGATCCAAGTCCCCCATGAGAGCAGCAGGGACCCAACCCTTTGGACCATCAAGCACTTCCTCCAAGGGTGCAACATTAGCAAGAAGCTGAAACTGAGAACAGAGCTGGGACTGGAACCAAGGAATCTAATATGGGTTGCAGGCGTCCCAAGAGGTGCCTTAACTGCTACACCCAATGCCTCGAATCCTGGGTTCTTTTCCGGGGGCTTGAGGATGTCTGTCTAGCCCATGAAACGATATGGGTATCTGTGTGTGTGAATGATTTTTCCCAGCAAGAGTTGTTAGAGCCTCCACCTGGGGTGGGCGTCATAGTGCAGCAGGTTAAGTTGCTGTTTGGGATGGCACTCCCAGCTGCTCTGCTTCTGATCCAGCTCCCTGCTAATGTACGTGGGAAAGCAGCAGACAATGGCCCAAGTGTGTGGGTCCCTGACACTCCTGTGGGAGACCTGGATGGAATTCTTGGCTCCTAGCCAAGGTCTGATACAGCCCTGGTGGTTGTGGCCATCTGTGGAGTGAATCAGCAAATGGAAGATTTCTGTCACTCAGTCTTTCAGATAAATATATAAATCTTTCAAATAAATAATAATAGCCTCCATTTCAATCCACAGGTAGCAAGGCTTCAGAGCCTACGATTAAGTCTACTGCCCACTTTGGTTAATGACATTAACATACTGCCATGTCTGCTTCATTTACACTCTTCGTTTCACAACTTCCCCTTCTAACTCCTCCCTATTTCTAAAGTGAATCACATTGTCTTCTCCATAGGGTTGGAGTGCTACAAATTCAGCATTCTGCTTTTAAGAACACCTGCCAACATTATGACTAAGATACAGAATAAAGGCTCAAATATCAGACACACTAAAGGGGCCGGCGCTGTTTTGCAGCAGATAAAGCTGCCACCTGCAGCGCCAGCACCCCATATGGGTACCAGTTTGAGACCTGGCTGCTCCCCTTCCAATGCAGCTCTCTGCCATGGCTGGGAAAGCAGTGGAAGATGGCCCAAATCCTTGGGCCCCAGCCCCTGCGTGGGAGACCTGGAAGAAGCTCCTCGCTCCTGGCTTTGGAGCGGCTCAGCTCTAACTATTGCAGCTATCTGGGGAAACTAGTGGATGGAAGACCTCTCTCTCTTCCTCTGCCTTTCAAATAAATAAATCTTTAAAAAATAAATACATAACCACTTGAAACATAGATACACTAAATATGTGTGGCTCAAAAGAAGCAAGGGGCCAGCGCTGTGGCGCAGCAGGTAAAGCTGCCGCCTGCAGTGCTGGCATCCCATATGGATGCCGGTTCAAGTCCTGGCTGCTCCACTTCCGATCCAGCTCCCTGCCATCTTCAGCTGCTTTTCCAGGCGCCATCTGCAGGGAGCAGGATGGGAAGCACAGCAGCCAGCACTCAAAACGTCACCCTTATGGGACGACAGCAGCGCTAAGGTGGGCTTAACCTGCTATGCCACAAGGCCAGCCCCACTATATTCGTGTTTTAAGAGTAGTAATTCTGGGGGCCAGTGCTGTGGTGCAGCAGATTAAAGCCCTGGCCTGAAGTGCTGGCATCCCATATGGGCGCCGGCTCTAATCCCGGCTGCTCCACTTCCGATCCAGCTCTCTGCTGTGGCCTGGGAAAGCAGTAGAAGATGGTTCAAGCCCTTGGGCCCCTGCACCCATGTGAGAGACCTGGAGGAAGCTCCTGGCTCCTGGCTTCAGATCGGTGCATCTGTGGTCGTTGTGGCCATCTGGAGAGTGAACCAGCAGATGGAAGACTCTCTCTCTCTCTCTCTCTCTCTCTCTCTGCCTCTGCCTCTGCCTCTACCTCTCTCTGTAACTGTCTTTCAAATAAATAAAATAAATCTTAAAAAAGAAAAAGTATCAATTCTGGGGCCGGCGCTGTGGTGCCGCAGGTAAAGCCACCGCCTGCAGTGCCGGCATCCCATATGGGCACCGATTCCATTCCCAGCAGCTCCACTTCCGATCCAGCTCTCTGCTATGGCCTGGAAATGCAGTAGAAGAAGATGGCCCAGGTCCTTAGACCCCTACACCCACATGGGAAGCCCCAGAGGAAGCCCCTGGCTCCTGGATTCAGATCAGCACAGCTCTGGCTGATGCGCCCAACTGGGGAGTGAACCAGCGGATGGAAGACCTCTTTCTCTTTCTGCCTCTCCTTCTCTCTGTGTGCAACTCTGACTTTCAAATAAATAAAATAAATCTTTAAAAAAATACCAATTCTTCTCAAGGTATTACTCATACACTTACTGGGCCATAAATGCCTGGGTTTCATTTATTTTATACCCTCAGGGCCTACCCCATATCAGATACCCAATAAAATTTATTTGAATGAATGAGCCTATCAAAACCCTAAATGAATTTTCCGAGAAAATTAGGAAAAAGGTGACACCAACATGTCTTATACAAAATTAAGAGAGAAAAACTGAAAAGGAAAAATTGAGAGAACAGCTCTACCAGATTTAAAATACATTACAGATTAATATGAAAAACAGTGGCACACTGATGCCCACATATACACACATCCCAAGGTATAAATCAATGGAATATTAGAGAAAGGCCAACCCAAGGTTAAAATATATGTAAGAATTACATGTTTGAGGCCAGTGTTGTGGTACATCCAAGTTAAGCTACTACTTGCTATGCTAGCATCCCGTATTGGAGTCCCAACTATTCCACTTCTAATCCAGCTTTCTGATGATGTGCCCAGGAAGGCAGCGGAAGACGGCCCAAGTACTTGGGTCCCTGCCATGCACGTGGGAGACCCAGATGGCGTTCCTGGCTCCTCGCTTTGGCCTGGATCACCCTGTGCTGTGGCAGGCAATTGGGGAGTGAACCAGTGAATGGCTGATCTCTCTCTCTGTTTCTGTCTTCCAATTAAAATGAAAACAAATGAAACTTCAAAAGAAAAAAAAAAAAGAAAATCATTATAAAGCCATGGAAAAGTGAGTATTATTGTGTTACCTATTTCAGACATAAAATCCAGCCATGACCTGAACCTTTTCAGCTCTTCACTTTCTCTTTTCTTCTTGCCAAACATCATGGTATTAGGTATTTTTCCCCAATCGTTCCCCAGTGGTACCGCCTGATTTCTGGCTGTCCGCTCCTCTCTCAGCCTATTTCAGCAACTTCCTAGTAGTCTTCTTTTCCCTTCTCCCTCTGCCTGTTATCAGAGTTCTCTTCCTAAGTATCAACTCATCTTTCTCAATTGTCTGCGTCATTTAGTCCTGC